CTATATTGCTTTTAGAGAGCAACAACAGCAGTAATCAAAGGCACAGCACTTTCTGAGTACTAATGAATTGTTTGGTCCTTCAGCTGTTCTAATTAGTAACTGGTCATTAATCCATGAGAAGTGTCTTGTTCTCTGATTGCTGTCACAAGAGTCATATTAACTAATGGTTTTAAACTTACCTATCATCTCCCCTGGAAAAAAGCAGTGTCCTCTCTGTATCTAAAGCGTCCGGCTCTCTAAAGGGCTCTGGCTCGTTCTTGGATTGTTTTTCCTCACTGTAAGAAAATAAACTCATTAGATGATGGTTAGCAATTGGCATTCATACAGAACTGCTAGCATGTACTTAGCTTGGACTTGCTTCACTGAGAAGCTATCATCAAATAATGCATAATCTTTACCTCTGCAAAGTCTCTGTTTATTTGTAATGAGAAGGCTGAAGTCACTCACAAGACTCAGAGAAGTGATAACTGGCATGCTTCACAAAAACGAAGCAGGATGCTAAGTTTCCTCAAATTACTTAGGATTTAGCAGAAATAAACCCCTCAGTCCTAGAAGTCAATACCCCAACGCTCCACTCCTAGTTACTCTTAGGAGCAATTAAGACAGTAAATGCCAGAAACAGCAGGGAACATGGTGTCAACATTTGCATTTCCAGGGAAAGAAGGCAAAAAGTATCCTCAACAGAGCAAATTTGGAAAGGCTTACTTTGATTATGAATTATGATTTAAACATTTCTGGGAAAATTCTGCCAAAATTTCACATTAAATTACTTGATTTTGTGAGTCTGGCAGCCACTACGACAAGGTGGTCGTCTTTAGTCATACCGACAGAAGCAAAGTCTTAAATCAGCAGCACCAAACAAGTTTTCCTCTTGCTTTTCTAGTAGGTTAACAGTTAAGAAACATATATTTCATATCCACATGCTGATTCTAATGATATATATATGATTCTCACAATATTAGGAGGTTTTCAGCATCTTCGCTCTGACAAAAAGCTGAAAACTATGAATTCCAAAGCTATGCCTGCCGCAGATTAACAAAGAGATCTCATAAGACATTGAATTTGAAAATCTGTATTGATTTCACATCAGTTCTGTGGGTTTTGTTAAGCTTGAGTTATGCTTATGGCTGATAATCCTGCTTTAGGATCGCTGTTTAAATAGGTAAGATACTGAGGTTTAAAGCAGGTATCTCCAAAACTAGAAAGAGACGGTGCTATAGCTGGAGAGAGTTTGCACATTACTTTGTAGAATCTGGAGCTGACAGAATTCCAACAGGCTTGTCTGTGGATTGTGCAAGATAGAAGTGATCTATGTGAAACCATTTCATTGCTCTTTTAAGTATTAGAATAGGCACTAATACAAATCGCTCAACCCAATAGAAAACTGATTAGGTCGATAACGATGCAGTCCTCCTGTTGACAGTTTGAAATGATCTTACTGTTTTTATCACTAGGTGAGAAACCTTGAGTCTGGATGGTTTTTTATGCCTTATTTTTCATCCCTTCTCTCTTGCATCCAAATAGTTACATTTGTACCTGAATGCTATTAAGTTTGTGAAGATCAGAAAAGGACAATAGAATCCACAGATTAACTTCAGGATTTGTGTGTTTGTAGACATGTCTCCCCACCATATTTTTGTCAGGAAGGCCTGAAAGTCAACAAAACAAGAGATGGCTTTAACATAACAAAACACACATGCAGGTGAAGTGCACCTATGTTCTGTGGCTCCTAAGACAGTGAATGTTCTGGATACCTTAAGAACAGGCAGACCTTCAGAGCAAACAGGTGCTCTGTGTGTCCTTCTGCAGATGTTCTTAAGCATGCAGAGAGTTATGAAGAGGATAGTGGAAAGAATAGAAAGTCAAGTGGAATTAAGCAAAATCCATAGTAGTAAAAAAGTGCAAGTCAGACACTGGGAGCTAAAAGTACCATCAGTCTTAATTTAGCTTTGTGGAGAGAAGTTGGGTTGTGAGGGCAAAGCTAAATAGTAATTTAATTTAACTTTCATCAGGGAGCTCTTCCTTGAATCTGAACATAGAGTTACCTCATATCTTGGAACAGCTTCATTATGCCTCAGGCGTAAAGTGCTTTCCTGATGCTTCTCTATGAGCAAGGATGGAATAAAGGCTAAACCTTCTCAGTGAACTGGTCTGTTGGCCATAAGGATGAAAGGGAGGAGAAAAGAGGAACTGTGTTGCTTTGTCAAGGATGCAGTATAACGTACTCTTAGTATGACGCCAGGGAGAGGGAAGAGACCCCTTTCTGAAGAATATCTCTTCAGGGAATGCATTTCATGGGGTTGTTCAGTTGCTGTTCTACCCTTTTCTGTATCCAACATCATGTTTAAAAGCCCTGGGGGTAAAGGTGGTGAGGGAAGGGGCTGTAAAACTTACCTGGACACCATCATGTGCAAAGAAAGACTTTGCATCTGCTTCTGTAGCCAGCTGAAGGCAGGTGATTCTGTTCCAGTAATGATTTTTTCTCACCAACAGAGCAAATGCTCTCTCCTCACTGTTGTGGTAGCATTCACTAAATAGTTCTGTCAAATGAAGGAAACATAAACAAACAGATCTTGTAATTAAAAAAAAAAAGTAAGGCAAGATAGTGATGTGTGTAGGGTGCAGCATGGTGGCAGCAAAGCCTGGGCACTGCCATATGTTCTTGCTGCACCAGAGATTTCTGCCAGGCTGAAATAGCTGAAAAGAGCCTGTGAGAGATAAGAGGAGGTGTGAGGGAGAGAGGAATGATGCTGGACACAAGAGTAAGTCCCTATGGCTTTATGCACGTGTGTACAGATGAAATAGATTCACCTTGGTGGAAAAAAATCACTGTAATTTTGAAATTCCCACTATTTGCAGATAGGTATGGGGTAAATCTATCACCTCTTTTTATCTGCTTCCTTCTCAGCCTGGGGCCTCTAACAGGTTTGGGTTTTGGGTGTGTGTGTGGCGGTGGTGGGGGAGTGTTGGGCAGTTTTTTGGTGTTTTTTTTTCCCTATTGTCGTTTGAGATTAGAAGAAATTTTTCTTTGACAAGAAATTCTTGGTAGCATGACAGTATTTGTTATAGTCTCTCATCTGTAGCTGCCTCACGTGGAGCTTTAGGCAATATCAAGCAAAACTGTATCTCTTGGGTGATCCTCTTAGACTTTGAAGGATGAGTTGCCACCTTGTCCCCAGTCTCCTGAATAGACTAAACAAAAGGAACAGCTCATCTTTGGCTAGTAGCCAAAAAATCCTTGGGTTTAAGACATAGCTATCTGACATAAAATAATACTAGACTTGGTAGAATGTTGTGGTTATAGTTGTTTCCAGAGAAGGTGGTCTTGGAGCTCAGAAATTAAGATAAACAGTACAGACAGTCAAAGTTTCCTCATTAGATAAGATCTGACTTCTTGTGTTTGTTTCATTCTGCTCATTCACTTGATTGTCTCAGTACCTTACCTAGGATAGCCCTACACACTGTGAGGGCTGGGGAAAGGATCATGTTCATATAAAATAAGCCGATATACAGACTTCTGTGACAGTTGATGTGGTATTTATAATTTTTAAAGAATGTTCATTTTATGTAATATCGACCTGTCATGCAGGCAGGAAATTAACTGAGCATCTGATCTAACACTTACCAAAGCCAAGGAGCAGACTTCTGTGTATTGGATTAGGCCCTGTAATTCTATGACTAAATTACTTGAGCCTCATGATTATATGAGAATCTGCCTTTTATTTTTTGTAAATAATAAAGGCCCTGTGAGAAGAGGAGAAAATGTGATCTATGTATAAATAATGTAGCAATATCTGAATTAGCCTTCAGCTGCTTGATATACTAGCTCTAAGGGGAAAGAAAGCCTCTGTGTTTCCATGTGTGGCATACTTTAAAACCCTCTGTTCGCAGCACTGCTACCTTCAAGTATGGATTGGATTGCCGTCAGACCAGCAGAGAAGCTTGTGTGCAGGCATCTGTTATAAAACCAGGCAAAGGTGAGAGGGCTTGATATTCAGGCACCTGCAATGCCTGAATGCTTACTTTTGTAGGGAGGGGAGGCTTGCCTGCGGAGAAACCAGTCTGAGCCTCGCTGCAGTTTTGTTGTGCAGTTAGACCTCTTCTGGATGAAGTAATGTTGAATTATTTTTAGCAACAAAGACCTTAAAACTTGTTGCTCTAGTGGCTCTTAGAGAGCAAGCTTGATATTGCAGGAAAACCAGGCTGCTGTGAGGCTGGAAGCATTTCAGTTATTGTCTTGCCCATTGCTGGAATGCGTCTTGTAAATTCAGGCACTTAAAACCAACATGCAGCAGAAGAGTAATTTCTTCCATGAATCCCAGGAACCAGTCTTGGATTGCTGATTTTCCCCAGATGATTGTTTTTTAAGTCCTTCTAATGTTTGGGACTGCCTGTGCTACAAGGCTCTTAAATTTTTCATGACAGTTGACCTTTTACAACTGAGAGTATCTTTTTCATTTGCTTGCCTTTAAATGGTAGTTACTTCTTAAATTTTTGATGCAGTTACACAGGGGCTGTTACTTACCAACAGCGAGCTGCTCATACTTGGCCTCTTTCATTATACGTTCTACTTCAGTCTCTGTCTCCAGGCGGGACATCTCTTTAAGGATCTTGCAGGCTGCCAAAGCTGAAGCTACACCTTCCTGACCCTGTAGAATTGAAAGGGGTACTGCTGTTACCATCCACTGGAGGGCATTTCTGAACTGGGGAGAGGAAGACTTCTCTAAGGAACACACCTAATAACAACAAAAAAATCATGCATGTCTCCCTTCAAAGAATCTTCCCTCAAATACGAACTTGAAAATCCAAAATGTTGATCAAAACAACAGTTTCAGTGGTATTTTAGAATTGTAAACCACATATTGGTAGTTCTTATGCCCATAAAGCTGGAGACTTCAGGGTTTAATTGATCTTGGAAGAGTCTGATTTGGGCATTCTTCGCTTTTCAGTTCAAAGACTGAAAGAAGAATGCATTGTGGAAATAGAGCAAACCAGTCTCACAGTTACCTTGCTGAGAAGCTCCATAAGGATATATGGGAAAGGCTGGCAGTGGCACACAGCAGAAAAACGTGACTTCTGGTAATAGAGCTCCACAAGTACAAAGCCCTGCAAGGTGCAGATGTGTCTGTGTGCACACACACTCAGTGGCTGAAGAGCTGTATGCAGTTTGTCCTTCCCCATGACCTCCTGCCCTGTGCCAGCTGCAGCTGTCTGGAAGCTCAGGGATGGAGTCTTGATAACTGTGTTTGACTCTGTGGGGATGCACTCCAGATGCATGAGACAGGGCCTTGGTTGTGGAGGATTGTAAAACAGGAGCCAATTATGCCAGCCTGAAGCTCAGCCTTTGAGAGTGTGATGCTGTTGTTCCCTACGCATACAGCACGTAAGCTAAAGATGCTGGATTGCACTGTCTTCCCTCTGGACCACAAGGACCCAAACAATTGATCTATTGTAGAAGGAACAAAACCTGAGACTGAAAGTGGTGAGTCATCTGCTGCAAGGCAGAGGAGGGTCAGCTCTGCAGCTGAAGTAAATTAGCAGTGTTTCAGGCTGTGCTTATTTACACCTGCTGCTGCTCTGCCTTCTTCGTCAGGCCCTCTGGCATCTGCTGAACCACATGGAGATGAAAAGACCTATAAATGCCACATCATTTCATATTTTAGAAACAAACCTGTCTGTTGTGTGAGCTGTAAGGCTGAGCAGAAAACTTCTCATATACTTGAAATATACCGACATTTCACCTGAAGCAGCTACAGCTCAAAGCTTACCATAGCCCAGAAATAGTTCGCCATCTTGTGCCGGTTTTGAAGTACTGCCCAGACGAATAAATCCCTCCAAGGATTTTCGGTCTTCTGGTTCATATCCAAGTGCCCAGGTAATGGCTTTGTATTCATTTTATCCTGAAATATGGTTTATAGAAATTAAAACCTGCTTTGCAGTCTCATTCTATGCAAATGACATGATCTAAGCTGCTCTTAGCCTTGCCACCTACTTCATATTCTTTTCATTTTTCTTTTCTGTAGGACTGAGAGGTAATCAGTTCATTCTGTACTGAATCAAAGGACCCTCGTGTCCCCAATATAACTCAATATGTGTGAGAACATTCTGGATGAAACCACGACCCTATTGAAGTTGATGGTAAAGCTCTCGTTGACTTTATTAAGGCCAGGGTTTCACTGCTGGTGTGTAATACCATACAAAACAAACCTGTGATTAACTATCTGAGGTTGCCTTCAGGTCTGTTGGATTCTGCTCAGCTGCCACAGAGGACATGGTTTCAGAGAAGAGGGAACAAAAGGCATTTTATTTCAACAGAAATAAACCTCACCAAGGTCCTATACAGGACAAGAATAGAGTATGTCAATGCCCTCTTTTTAGTCCTTTATTTGAGAAGCCTCTCCCCCATGTGGGGAATATTTTAAGTAGAGCACTGCTTATTCCTTTAGCATTTGATGAAAAAACTCTCAAGAGGAAGTGTGGCAGCTGAGGTCAAGTTCTGAAAATTAAGTGTATTTAAAACCTGCCTTTACATCTATTGTGTAAATTAGAAGCAGCTGGAGTAGATTTTTTTTTTTTAATAGAAAGGTTTTGTGAGGATATATTTCTTCATTGCTTAAACTTTAACAGAATCACATAGTTTAATGGCATTTTTGGAGGGGTGTTTGTGGCTTGGTTTGGTTTTTGTTTGTTGTTGGGTTTTGTTGGTTTTTGGTTTTGTTTTTTTTGTTTGTTTGTTTGTTTGGGTTGGTTTTTTTGTTTGTTTTTTGGTTTTGTTTTTTTTTTCTAAACACTTCAGTTTGTAGTGGGCTATTTAATCAAATAAACTGTATTGAAATCCTTGCAGGAGTCAAAGATATCCCAAAAGTCACATGAGTCTTTGTAATCACTAGTTCCTTTCTGCTCTCAGTGGTAACAGGATTGAGCCACTGGTGGCAACCATTGAAAGAAGCTTCAAAACTAAACCAGCTAGTAGGCAGGGTGATCTAGTATCTGAATTGGGCCTTATTTATAGCACTTGGATTTAGGTCACTTACTGCCCAAGCCACACAGGTCAGTCAGATTTTGGGAGCAAACTTTTATTCCTGTAGAATTTGTGAGTCTGCTTAATGACTTCAAAGGTATTGCCCCAAATTCTGAGCAAAGAAATCCTGACTAGATTCAAAGTTAGCTTTTCTCATTGATTTAGCTAGGCTTTATCAAAGCAAAAGTGAGTGAAGCTCTTGAGTGAGAATTTTTTTAAAACTTATTTTTTTAATTTAACCAGTTTTAAGATTGAGCTAGAACTTGACAAATACCCAAAGGTTTAATTGTTTAGTTTGTTTAGAACTCTGGTCTTAATGAGATTTCTCTACATGTTTCTGTTTTTAAATCATTTGCCCAAACTGATTTCCAATGATCTTGCAAAAACTTTGGTGCTTAAGAGTTTCAATGTTAAGTACACTGTCAAAATGCAAAAACGGTAAAACTGTTGCACAGTTGTGGACAGTGTACCATCCCTTTCTACAGTGCTATCCACCACGTTATCCTTGTCATGTGTTGGCCAGGGTGCTGATCAGGGTGCTTGCCAGGGCCATTTCACACAATTGTACTTATTTTTGGCTATGTGTTATGTTACTCAATAATGAAGCTATAATAATCTAAAGGCAAATATCACGTACTGCATAGTCTATTCCTGCTTGTCTTTTTCCTAGAAAATGCTGTCTTTCAGATACGTCTGCTTGAGGTTCTGTATGAGAAATCTGCCATTTTAAGGTCCAATTACTTCTTAGTAAATGTAACTGTCGTTTTGTATTCCCCATATATCTTTCATTGAAACTGTTCTTATGTATGTGGGAGTTGTAAGATCAACAAAATTCTCCACATGCAAGGTGTTAGAATGATGAACCGTCTGTGGAAGTTGTACTAGAAGAGCGTGAGATACAGGTGCCTCTGCAGATCCTGAAACAGAGACTGTATCTCAGCACTAGTTTAAGGTACAGAAAAACCTTGCATAAAATCCCACTTGCAAAGGAGGAGAAAGAGGAATCACAGGCTTGCAGATTACTTTCTTTTCCTTTTAAATTTTGCAAAGAAAAAGATCATACCATTTTAGTTGTAATAATAATGAGCTGAAAAAGGAATGAGAAAAAGTGCCGGATTGTCTCATCTTCCCTTTCCTTCCCTACCCACAAAGGCCTGACCTAGCTAAAACTTTTCAAGTTGTAATTGCAGAGGATCAGGCCTATGATAGAAAGTTGTAACTTTACCGATTTCTTCTTGCCTCCATATCTGGGGTCTTGATAGAAACCTTTGCATGCATCATGAAGAAAATCCTTGAGAACTCTAGAGACTTCGCTGAGAGTGAAGAGTGGGCAGTTCTCCCTCTGCTCCTTATGATGTTGGCCAGTGAGGCCTGTCAAGGTCAGCTTGCTTTCTTCATGTTTCTTTAGGAGAAGTTCATAGAGGAGACATTTCTGAGAAATGGAACAGTAGAGCCTCTGCAGACGACTATATGTCAGGAATTCGGATATGTTAGCCCCATTCTCAATAAATAATTTTACAAATTCTGGTTTGTCATTGACCAGAGCATCCATCATCACTTCTTCCAGGTCACAGGACTAGATTGAGGAAGGGGAAAAATAAAAAAGGTTTTTTTGGATAATCATGGATGGAAGAGGAGGGAGGTAAGATTCAACATGAGGACATGTACATGTTGTCTTCCACCAGTCAGCAGTGGGTAGAAGAAGAGAGGTAAAACTCTCTTATTTCTCTGTGACAAAATGTCTGTGTAAGCATTAATGTTAAAACTTGAACACAAATAGCATGCTGTGAGAGTTGTGGTGATCTTAGGTATTAACTGCTCTGGGTATTTATACAGCAGCTGGAAACAGTGATGTTCTTCCTACCATCTTCTAACAGTAATATCTGCATGTTGCTTTTACTTTGCAAACTCAGGTTTGTTTGATTTAAACATTTGTACAGAAGAGGTGGGAGGGAGATTCTTGCCCCCAAAGTGTTCAAGAAAGGGACCATGTCCACTGAATTATTTCTCTGTCTTTAGCCATTTTCATATAAAGGACCAGAAAGACAAACAGCCTAAGAAAGCATACTACCACTGCTGAATCTTTTCATGGAGAATGCAGGTAGTGTTAAAAACTGAAGCTTCCTATTAGGATGTTTGTGTCCTGTACACATTGGATTATACACTGTTTGTCCTCTAAGACAATAAAACCTGGTACCTTCCACTCCATGTCACCATTGAATATTTCACTTTTAGCAATGTCCACTCTATTCCAGGCCACTGCCAGCTTCAATTCATCCAGGTACTCCTGAGGCTCCTGACTGTGACTTTTACAGGCTGGCAAAAATAGAAAATGCAAATAAACTCAGTACTTTACAGCAGTTCTGTTTAATTTAATATAGCATTGGTAATTTGATTAGCAATACAAGCTCTCCTTCAGCTACGGTTGCCTAAACAGGAACTCTTCACAGCATTTCCCCCAACTTAAGAAATATTAATATTAAAAATATTAATTTTTGCTAGATTAATTCTCCATTAAAACACTAAATATTTTTAGGATTTTGAGAGCGATCCAGGCCTGCAGAACCTGCAGAAAGTGTGGGAACAGGACTGGCTATTGGTTTTGTCTTGTTTCAGTTAGGACATTTGGAATAGAATGTCACCATTGGTTCCTTCCCTCCCCCACTTAAATTTAGGGGAAATGGATTGTTTCTGGAACTAAGGTCACTGAAGTATATTTGCTTTTTTTTTTTTTTTTTTGAGGAGGAGGGTTGGGGCAGTAGGGGAGGTTGTAGCTTTTGCGTTGTTTTTTTTTTTGAGGGGGAGGTTGGGGAGGTGTTTTGGTGGGCTTTTTCTTTGGGGGGGGGGTGTTTTTCAGTGGTTCAGCTCTTCTGGAACCTCTACTACTAAGAGAAGCAAGTAGCAGTAGCATGAGATTAAAATGTGAGCACTGTTTTAAAGCAAACTTACAGAGAGCTATGGTAACCATCCCAATTAATCTGTCAATAAGCAAACAGAAGAACTCTGCATCAGAAATTAATTCTGATCCAACAGCCAACTGAACTTGCTCTAGACATGAAAAATATTTATGGTATAGAAAAAGACAAGTATTACACTCTGCTGTGTCTATTGTTCTTACCTTTTACTAAAGCTTTCAAAATGACCGTGTCTAGTTCTTCTGAACCATCTTGCTCAAAGTTGTGCAAAGTTAAAAGATTTTGGTGGGAAATAATGTTCTGAATCTACTGGGAGATGAAAAAAATACTTTTATGCGTTGTCCTACTTCTGTATATTAACGCCTAAGAGCCCATACGGTATTTCACAAAAACTTATATTCTAATTGTAATGCTGAGGTTTGGCAAGAAGACAAGCATTATTAGTTTCCTATTTATAAATAATTCCCAGGGCAAGAAGAAGTAATTGACTTTTCCAAAATGACCTAGCAGGATGGGAGGAACCAAACTTGGGTATACTGAGAACCAGAGCAGTTCTTTAATTAAAAGATCCTTCCTTAACTCACATTCTTATTTGACTCATAGTCATCCTGTGGCCAGCCTACCACTACTTTTGTTTTACCTTTTCCTGCTTTGACATTTAAGTTTTGCTTTCAGAGTTGTTTATTTAAAAGCATAGTCTCCAAATCTTCTTTGAGTAAGTCATCAAATATTGATATATACAATACTCTTTTTCTTCTGCTTCTCTATTTATCGAGTTTTCTTTCTCGCAGTGCAGCTGCACTGAGACTTTGTGAGCATCTGGCAATATTGCTTCTAGGTGCCCTTCCACCCTCTTGCGTTAGTAATTTGGAAAAGTGCTCCCTAATGGAATTAATATGTGCAGCTTTTAGAGTTCAGATTTATGGCAGGAATTGCAAA